AATTGAGAATTCTAAAATATATATATATATATATATATATATATATATATACATACATATCATACAAGAATATGATCCATTGTTATTTACTCTAGGTAAGGCTAGTCAACGAGAGAGATGTGCCTCTCCTCCGAAAAGTGTGTAACTTTAGAGCAGTTAGTCTTGGTCCTGCCTCAGTACACGCTACAATTAAACTTTTCAATAAAACTGTTCTCTTTTCTAACTTGTGTCATTTATTCCAATCCTCACTATCTCTTGCATAATTTTCAACAGTACCAATTTTCACAGCCTACTTGGAAATGCTAAAGATAAATTTTGTCATACAAGAACGTAAAAAGAAGTGCAAAGTGTCAAACTATAGAGCTCTCGGCATTGACTATAGCTAGAAATATAATTATATTCTAATATATATACAGTAGACCTTAGATGTGTTACAGCGGATCAACAGAAATATAAACATTACTTTAAAATATTAATTTTGTTACAAATTTTACATTATAAATACAAGAAAATTTATTTTAAGACGTTTTGTTTCATGTAGTACTGACTACAATTGTTATGATTCACAATTATATTTATGTCACATAACTTAAGTTAAACAAAACCAATTTCTTTTTGAAAATACCGACAACTGAGTAAAATTTATTTATAGAAGAAATTCATACAGTTTACCTGTCAAAAAAAAACAAATATATAATAAATTTGGTAAACTTAATCTATTAAAAAAATTTTATCAGTTTTGTTGTTAAAAGAAAATGACTGATCACATGATAGTCAATGTAAAATAGTTACTGCTGAATACGGATAACATATAGAAGTCAGATTTTTGTACTCTTTTGCTTGCTTTAAGTAGATCGTTTAGTTTACTTATAGGACCAGATCAAAATTAAAAAAAAATAAAACTTCTCTATGATAAATTTCATCTTTTTACCTCCTTCAAAATCTTTACAGATCTAATTGTTTACATGCAACACATCTCAGTAAAACATGCAAGTTTTTAGAAAAAAATCACACATACGTGTGTTTTAAAATTTGTTATATCATTATAGAGTCAAATCATCTTAGGTTCAGTAAATATGTATGTGCCAGAGAAAGTAATATTAGTGTACAAAAATTAGACACACTGCTTTTTATTCAAATATGAAATATACATATAATTATATAATTACACAATATTTTGCCATTATAAATTTTGGCATTTAAGAATCTAAAGCGTCTTATTTGTTTTAAAAATGTATGTGTGACTAATATAATAAAAGAGTGCAGAAAAATACACACGTTAAATTTTAGACACACAGTATGTGTTTAGGACACTAAAGATATTTTTTAAAACTACATTACGGGTTTTAATTAAAAATAAAAATACCTGCTTCTGTTATACAAAGCTCTTGGCACTCAAATTTAACTTTTAAAACTGTATCTTTGAATAGTGAACATATTGCTCCATCACCTTGTATTGATAAAACAGACATTGATTTAAAAATAAGAGACATTTTTGAAACTCGGTTATTACATCAATGAATAGAAAATAGTTTTTGATCACCATCTATAGTTGAGATATTTTAAATCAGAAGGTATAAGTTATTTTAAAGGCCGATAAAGCTAAACACTAATTTACTTCAATATCGAATTGTAAGTTTTTTTTTTTGTCAACAATAATGTTCACATAAACTCAGGTTATAACCGGTGTCCGTAGAACGTAATCTCTAATATGTAGGCGTAAACAAGGTATGAGTAAGGCTGCAGTCACATGGAGCGCAATAGAGCGAGCAGGATAGGAATTCCCATGGTGTAAGAATAGACGCCTCTATCGAGTCCAATTTGTGTCGCAGTACATCTAAAATCCGCTAGGTGGTTTCGAGTAGTAGAGGCAGTTTTTATAATGGTCAGTATGACTATATAAAAAAAAAAAAGAAAAAAGAAAAAAAAAATTTTCATACTATCAATGGCCTGCACGACACGGATCCCTCTGGTGGCTAGTATCGGTACTGCGACGAAATTTGAACTTTTTTTACAATGCGTTGAGGTAGGCCTTCGGCCCACCTGTCTATTCTTACACCATGGGAATTCCTCTATAAGCGGCTGTGTGAAGGAGCTATTCACATGAGACATTTTTTGCTTTTTTCATTGTGAACGTTCATATTGAATAGGAGGTTCCACTGTTCCGCTAAACTCAAATTGAGTGAACAGACTCAACAGACCTACACCCTATGCTGTGTTCTCTGTCAGTCAACATAGTTGCGACCGTAGGCTTTGTTACCTGATATTCGCTCCGTGCATGACACGCAGCGCTGCCCTCGGTGTCAGAATCGCGCAATACCGTACCCCCATAAGATTAAATCGTAACACTGTCGCCTATAGGAGAAAGTATTATTTATTGAATAAAACGTACATACTGCTATCGCGTAAATATCAGCACCCTAAAAAATGGATGTGATTATCCAAACAGGCTTTAAAGGTATAAGTTGCAACATAGTTTTTAATAATGAAACGCTGAAAAAAGCTAAAAAATTAGTAGAGAGTGGGCACGTTGCCTACGTACAGGAATATGTAAATGAAGGAGTCGGTCATCTGATCGATTGCTATGTTGTGAGACAAACATCTGTCAGCTTAAATTCATACAAAGTAGAATTATCTGTAAGTACATTATTGTCTATGCTTGACAAATGTAGGTTATAGTAACATCTACATAAATGTGTGCCACAAACTGCCATCAGGACTGTAAAATTTTCATGATAATTTTACTTATAATCAATAATAAGAATTAAAAAAATTCCGTAGGTTAGGTACAAACTTTTGTCTCCTAACTGCCCTAATCCACAGCTCCTTCTGTTTTGTTTCATGGGGTCTACTTGGAAATTTATACAGCACCACCCCACCCCCTGCTTTTTTTTCTTGTTGCAATTAACAACGCAACACCGTCTCGTACGCATTTCGTTACTTTGTAAACGTAAACACTGATTCAGATTATACAGCTAGCGGCAGCCTATGTCGACTGCTTGGAGTTCTTGCTCTCACGTATACAACATTACAGATAAGTATGTGTGTTGTGTACTATATGACAGATGATATTTAATAACCCATTATTTAAAATTTCGGGCGATTTAAAGTGCCTAGCAAAATTATTTATCTGTATTATAGACCTGGTTTGGCTAAATAACATTTGTTTTCCGCCTTCGATTTCTCAACTAATTACTTTAAATGAATTGATATCTTTTCTCATGCAAGACAACGCTTACTGTACGATTCATGGGGGTACGGGTTCGCCAACTTTGCTCACCTACAGCGCTGCGGTCGTTTTTTTATCCCCTCCAACCTGATGCACGGAGCAAATACCGAGGACAGGTATCTATGAGGCAGGACCAATACCAATACATACATGTGCAAGAGTTGAAATGGTTAATGTATGTATTAGAGAAGGCGTGACNACACACACACACACACACACACACACACACACACACACACACACACACACACACACACACACACACACACACACACACACACACACACACACACACACACACACACACACACACACACACACACACACACACACACACACACACACACACACACACACACACACACACACACACACACACACACACACACACACACACACACACACACACACACACACACACACACACACACACACACACACACACACACACACACACACACACACACACACACACACACACACACACACACACACACACACACACACACACACACACACACACACACACACACACACACACACACACACACACACACACACACACACACACACACACACACACACACACACACACACACACACACACACACACACACACACACACACACACACACACACACACACACACACACACACACACACACACACACACACACACACACACACACACACACACACACACACACACACACACACACACACACACACACACACACACACACACACACACACACACACACACACACACACACACACACACACACACACACACACACACACACACACACACACACACACACACACACACACACACACACACACACACACACACACACACACACACACACACACACACACACACACACACACACACACACACACACACACACACACATTTTTCGATGACTGCAATCTAGTGTAAGCCCATTTAATAAACAATTTTTTAAAATTAAGTAGTTGTTTATTTATTACTGGGGCTGTGTTTGCATAGGCTCCGTTTGTAGTATGTTAAGGTCACGTGATCATTTATGATTAGTGCAAGTGAGACGTTGATATCATGCTGTCTCCCTCGCACTTATGATAAATGATCACGTGACCTTAACAAACCTAATAACAAACAAATCCTTAGGCGAACACAGCCTGTGTGACTTTGATACGTTTCCACTGGTCGGTAACTTGATCTTCAATTTGCCTGATTGATCATTTACGCGCGAAATTTGAGTGCTTGATCCGTTTTCTAAAACTTGACCAATCAAAATTATCACTTGTGTGCTTAGCTGTGGCTTGTCTTGGGATGATTATAGCTGTACTGCTACTTTTTAGTTGTGTTGTTATTTGTTTCTTGAATAACAACAAATATTAAAATTTCGTGCGTAATGAATAAATATCAGTCCACAGTATTTGCCACAATAGATTCCAGGTATTAGATTCTTAAGATGAAAAATCTGTATCTATTTACAAATAAATTGTTCCTTGAGCTTGAAGTATGTATTGTATGTGTGTGTGTGTGTATTGATCCGAAGGCTGAATAACTTATAACTGATAATTAATAGATTAATACCTACTAAAGTTTTCTATTCCGATAAATATTTTGTAGAACCCGCTGTAAGGAGTAAGCGACATGTACCGAACAACAGGAACGGAGCACTGGACCAAAAGTCGCTAGACAAAAATTACTAGATTCTCTCACTCAATAATTAAATTCATCATTTACAAACTTCGTGACATTTATATACATTAATTTATATACCTCCGTAATCCGCAAATTAGGAGGAATCGAATCGTACAGGTAAAATTGGATTTTAACCCAATTTAGCACTTCAAACAAAGTTTTTTATACTTCAGCGCCGCGCCCATTTTCGACTTTTTATTTTGCAAATATCTCGCCAACTATTGATCCGCAAATAAAAATTCAAATAAAGGATAAATCCGCAAGTAAGGAGGAATCGTTTAAGCCCTGAATGGGTGCAAAATAATAATATTTAATATTTACGGGCGCCAACTTCACAAGTCTGATTCAGCCGCCTCCATTCGCTGTATGCAGTGTGTATCAGGGGCTTACCCCCACTCTTATACCAGAGATTAGTACAGAGATTGCTGACTGCAATGCTACGGCGCGCCGTAGCACCGCAGCGCGAGTTCACTTTTGGCCACTGTTTCGAGCGCCCCGTCGCGGCCAAGTGGTCGAACCAGGCACACATATTTTTTTTTTATTTGAGAAGCGTGGAGGGGGTATACCGAGTGTGTGCCTACAGATTCGCGTGGAAATGGGCATGTAGGCACATACTTCGGAGACGCGTGGAAGGGGTATACTGAATATGTGCCTACGGAGAGAGGAGTGGTGTGCATGGAAATGCCGACTACAGCTATATAACTATATATACCC